TGTCCCACATATTTCCCTATGAGAATACAAAGTAAACTCAGGTACAAGATTCTTTTGAACTGAGTCGATCAACTCCATTGTAGGAAAATCGGATTCGATTTCATCTTTATATTTTATGTGGCTATGTCAAGTACAGAGAATAATGAAAATCCTCTTTGAGGTTTTGAATTTTAAAGGAAGTGCGTTTATGCTTCTGGTCAATGTTTAAGTCACACATGCAAAAGTTGTTTGAACTCTCAGAAGTCTTTAGGCCCTAGTAGATCTGCTTACTTTGGAAAGTGAGACTGCCTGTGCAGCACTGACCAGGGTGACGTGATCGTACTGAGAAGACTTGCAAGGAGGTTTGTTGATATCTAGAGTAACTACTTAGAAGAAATGGTTCTATGGATTTTTAAATTAATATTTAAATAAAGCACCCTAACAGAACTGTAATCGGATGCGTAATTTAATATGATTTCTGTACTACAATAGGAATAAATATATTTACTCCTCACATTTATAGTTGTCTTGATGCTGTTTGTCATCTAGTCAGCTAAACTGCATTATTTCTGTGAAGTCATACTGATTTCATAGTATCTTTGCATTACGTAATTTATAGATTATTATTTCAGTGTTTATACCTCCTTTTCTTGGCATTCTCCTGTTTCACTTTGACTTTTTTTTGTTTTCTTCATTTCAGTCAGTACCTAGGGGTTTAGCTAAATGGAGTGTTAGATAATTTGGAGAGGATGGAGCTATTGAAATATAGTATGTATGTCTTAGAAATATTTTTAGTTCTTGCTTTTTATTTTTGCGGTAAAAGAAAAAGATTATTCATATGTGTCAATGTGTCATAATCATATGTGTCAGTATTATGTATATTAGAAAAGTTAATTATGTATTCATTGGAAGTGTTTTATGGGAAACATTTAGAAAAGGACACAGTGAACTACATTAGCAAAATAAACTGCAAGTTGGAAAAAGCACTTGACTCAAATGAAAGAATAATAGTAATAAATGGTAATACACACACGAGACAAGCGATTCTCTGAAGTTTGATAAAGACTTAGAATAAATTCTTACATGATTTTGTTACATCTTTCTCAGCTAATGTCTCTGAAATTACTAATTCCTCTTGAAATTGAAATTCAGAGAGGAGTTAAGAAATAGGAAGCCATTATTCAGTATTATTGTAAAATAATAAAGGAGAGGTTAAAAAAATAAAAAGTGGTTGTTTCCAACAGTCCTATTGCAGGGATAGGTAATGTGTACTCTGTTCTTTTCCCAAGGAAAAAATTAGTTATATGAAATGCAAAGCACAATGTGCTGAAACCAGAATTTTTTTACAAATATTTTACTGGTCAAGAAACCATAGCAGGACTCTAGAAAGGCTTCTGACTTTTCCAGATGACTTGTTAATCAGTATTTATCATTAAGTTGATACACTAGCAGAATGTAATCATTTCTGAATAAAAGAGAAGATATTAAAGCTGCATGGTGCCTCTCTCATATTACATAATAAAATGTACTCAAGCCCTGAAAGACAGGAAAGTAGAGTAGGCAGACTGACTGAAATCGTAACTTCTAAGTCAGCCTCTATGAATGAGAAGAGAAGGTTTTCTCTGTCAGTCAGGTACCATTTTTTTTCTGTATGAAGAAAGTAGTTTTCAAATGCAGGCAACATTTCCTGTTAAGACATTAAATACTTCTCTTTTGGGATAACAAGTTTGGTTTTTTTTTGGTTTGTTTGTTGTTAAGTGGTGCAGAGCATATGCTAGAAGGGAGGAAAATAGAAGTCAGCAATATGGTTCTTTAGTGTAAGATTTATCAGCAAAACTAATAAATAAGCAACATTTTAAAACAGCCATTTTCCTATTAGTTGAAAGCCCTTTGCTATCCACTAACATTTTAACCAGCAGTAGTTAGAAAGCATATGAAATACCCAGGTAATACTGCAGACATGGATGCAAAAACTTAATTAATTCTCTGAAAGGGAGTATGACAGCTGCTGTTTGGAGTTTTATGATCTTTATGGGAACTGCACGGCCCAGGGTAGTCTGCTGCAGCGAGGCGGGAGGAGCAGAAAGGAAACACCTTGTGAATGCAGTGACTTTCCAAAGGGAGGATGAGATCCCACCTAGAGAAGAGGCAGCGTGGAGATGGGGGGAAAAGCTGTGAGGAGAGGCGGGGGAAGAGGGGAAGGATAAGGATGGGCCAGAGTTGCAGGTCCATGTCTTCTCAGCTTCCTTTCTTGGGGCTTTTTAATCATTTGAAAAGATGCAAAGAAATTTTCAGGGGAAAAAAAGCCTTTTAAGATGGAGCTGGGATTACTGCTTAATAACTAACTGATGAGAAAAGCTTTATTATGGTATGGTAGATTTTCTTACGTGTATTTTAGAAAGTTGATCTGCTAAAAATCAATGATAAAACATAAGTGAAAATTGGAGAAGTCAGTATTATTTTTGCTCTAGCACTGTTGTTTAAGCCCCAAGACTAAACACCCACACAACCTGATATCAGGAACCAGTCTTATGCAAAAAATTCAGACTGCTTCAGTACATCCCTTATCGGAACATTATACCTTGATGATGTCATACTGGTTGTGAAATTTTGTCTAACTGGTTGTGTAAATTGTATACGTGGTGGATATCTTTACCTTAACACACATACCATAAATTCCTATTCAAATCAGGCATGTTGTCTGGTTATAAGTTATATACCTGTCATTGCTTAAAAAATACATATTTTGGCCAATTGTCCTCTAGAGGATTCTGATCTTTTTATATCATGTCCATAACTGATGTCAAATCATCTAAAACATACGGAAGGTAGTACCTTTCAGAGATAATGATTTATAAAATTAGGATCTATTTCTCCTCCCCCCCCCCCATGCTTCCCTCCCCCCAAACCCAACCCAACCAATTAGCTCAGTGCAAACAGGGTAACTGTATTTAAAACTGTCTGTTAAGATAAGATTTAAACGAAAACAACTCACCCTTCACTAAGATAGTGGTGATGGTGATTCATTGAAGGAAGAAGTCCAAAAGTTTTCAGGTGCACCGTAACTGCTGCCAGTCTAGTGGAAGAAATCTGCCTTTCAGTTCATGTAGGACAAGATTCGCTCAAGTGCTTTCTCTGCTGTTAAAAGATTTTCCTTTGTGTATAATATGGATGATTTAGAAGAAGCTGTGTCAGCACTGATTTATACATTGACAGCTAAGGATAATAAGATATGGGCAAACATACAGCTCACCCTTTTACAGATTAACCTGCAGACTGCATTAGGCAAATTTGATGGCATTAAAAGATTTTTCCAATTTGTCTGGAAACAATTTCTCTTTTGTATTGTGTCAAGGGTAACATTTCATGCCATTGTACTAATTTAAATAGCTTTGATAAATTGTTCAGGAGGTTAGAGAATTATACTGTGTATATATTTTACCTCTTTAAAATAAAAAGGCTATTAACTTAATTGTTAAGTGAAATTAATTAGTAAAAATGGAAGGAGCCTGAGAAAATAGGCTAAAATATTCCAACACTGCAGCACTGGTGCTGTAACATTGCACCAAAATGATTAAAGATTATATTCAGGAAATTACAGTTTGCATTTAGCTTTTAGCACACAGAAACAGTGACACTGGTATAGTTACCATAATACTGTATTCCTGTGTAGCAGTAATTCAGATGAAAAATATGGATGAAACTAGACGAACTTTATAAATAAAATAGGTACATTGCACTCAACAATGCACCCACTCACAGTGGGTGTGATGATTTATTGATAAAAGAAAAGGTTATCATAGATTCACAAGAATCACACAAAATGTTTTAGTAAAAACCTCATTAGTCCTCATAGCTAATATATAATTGGAGACAGAAAGGGCAGAGTTCACTTGTATTTTGTGCATTTTCTTAGTATTGTTCATACACATTTAGTTCTACATTTTATCTAATACTGACAAGTTACCAGCTTGGAGAAGATCTCCTGGTTGTTTAAAGTGAGGCTGTATCATCTTTGTTTTGCAAAATAAGTTATGCCTCAAGACATCTAGAGCGTGGGGCAGTATTTATGGGAAAAGCCTATTATCAGCAGAGAAATTTGGATTTTGGATTTGAGCGGTTATTAATTTCATCAGAGTGGGATTTTTTTATTGTGCAGTATGTACTGTATCTTAGCACATGTTTTGAATTGAAAAAGTAATAATATTCTTCAGCGAAATGAAGGTAAATTTTTCATAAGTTAATACTTTAAGATTAATAATGTATAGGGTGGATTGCTGAGTTTTATTTCCAGAATTTGAGTGCTCCGTTACAGCATCCTATCTGCATATAATTGCAGAGAACACAAAACTACGCAGAAGATCACACACTGAAGGTTACAGCAGAAGTACTAGTGTCCTTTCGAACAGAATTAACGGGTGTAACCGACCATGTATGTAAATGCCTTGGACACTACTGCTATTTCTATGCTTAGAAATATTCTGAAAGGAAATTATGCTGCCCCCCTCCCCTGCGGCGCACAGGCACGCAGACACGCACGGACCCCTGAAAGTGGGCTCCTGCTCGCTCCTGCCAAGGATGGTGGAATTAACATGCAGCTGGGCTGCTCTGATAAATGGATTCTGTTAGGTCACTGAGGGGATGCATGTGACATTAAGTGATTTACCGTCCTTTACCTTAATGAAATTGTTTCAGCAAGATGACGCTGAGAGCTTTTAATGGATAGCTTTTCTTGATGTAATGAAATTGCATTCCTTTGGCATTTAATATAAGGTGCAGTTATTATTTACTGGAGCTTTCCCAGAGCTGCTGTTTTGCGCAGACAGTTCAGAACAAAAAGAGATTTCCGTGGCAGCATCCAGGCCAGAGTGGTGTGTGACAGTCTTAAGCATCTGAGCGTATTTGTGAGAGCGTTTCAGTTAGCGTGGCCTAGCTATAGAGACCCTTAAGGAGGCTCTCTTTGCACACTACGCTGCCAGCGCTCATCTCCTTTACAAATACCTTCCTAATCTGTTTAACAGGCAACTGGATTACAACCAGATCAGCTGTATTGAAGATGGGGCATTTAGGGCTCTACGTGACCTGGAAGTGCTGTAAGTATTCCTCGTATCTCTTACTTTTAGCAAGAGCTCGGTATCTGGGGAGTGCGAATGCAAAAGCTTATCTCCGAGCTGCAGGCTGGTGTCAGAATGGTCTAGTGAAAAGATGTCTTAAAATAATCCACTGCCATGTGCTGTAAAATGGTAAAAATATGTGGAGAGACATGGGTATTCCTTTACTCTGCAAGAAAATCGTTGCATGCAATTAAAAAAAAAAGAAAAAGAAAAAGAAAAAGAAAAAAAGGCAGGTGGTAGAAACTGTAAGAAAATAATGCATTTTCGGAAAAAAAAGCAGGAAGGGAGTAATGAATATTTTTGTGAATTACATATCATTGCTGAAGTGCTGAACATTTTTGGTATTGCCTTTGTTGTGTAGTCTGACAAAAATTTGATCTTTCAGTCTTAAGGAACAATATACTAAATGTGTCTGATAGCATAGATGCTTTCAAAAGGCACTTTTTTTGGCAAACATTCACCTTGTCTGTTAAGATGTTTAGCCTGTCCATGTTAAATGCATTTGTAATATTTTCATTGTTATGTATATGTATTTATTATATCATATTTATGTCATTGGTTAGAGGCTTGTATTGCAATATTCTTTCATATTCTTTTTTTTCCTCACTGTGTCAAAATTGCCATCAGTGAGGTTAAAGGTTACAAAATTATCATCAGTGACCCCTGACCTGAAAATAGTTACTGTAATGAGCAAAGTGTCTCAGTTAAGAATTTGAGACACAGCTCACATTCCTGAGATATTTTCTCTGTCAGTCAAAATGTCACGTTCTTTCTGTGCTTTTTGCATTAAGGCAAGCGAAAGACTGGGCTGTGTGTATCAGTGAGCGCTGACTGTTACTTTGATTCACGCTTGGTAAATCACACCTTGAGAGGTGGGAGGAAGCTTTTCTTCCTTTTTTTTTTTTTTTAGTTAGTGGAGAAAAGAAGGTTTTCTGATAATAATGTCTATGTGTCCAAGAACCTAAGAATATGTGAGCTACTAGGGAGAACAGGTTTTTATTATTAAGCAGTAGTTGGTCTTATTTACCAGTGAATGGATCTGACAGCTGAATTAATTTTTTTTTCATTTTTTCATTATAATCACAAAAGTAGCAAGCGTACTGTTAATTTTTTGGTATAAAACCATATAAAAAAGTACTGTAGCTTCAATAGTAAGTCTAATGGTTAAATTTATGAAGTGTTGTTTGTCAGTAGACCTGACGTTCTGTGAGGTTTTTATCTTTGGAACTCACATATATGACAGAGTAACTTTTCCAGTGATGGCTTAATCTGGTTATCATGTTTTTAATATAAGCTTCCTTTACAGGCACAAGTATTAAATATGTAGTTCAAAAAATATTGAGTATCTTTTGCAGTTTTTAGTGCATGTGATTTTTAGTGCTCTAAAAAGCTCATCCTTGCCAGTCGAAGTCAGTGGTAAAACTTTCATATTGCATTCAGTGAACACAAAAAGAAAAGAAAAGCTGTGTAAAATTAACAGTCTGCTGAAAAAGTTGCTAGTTAGAATTTTGTATATGAATATAACTGTGAGCGTTATTCAAGTATGTAACTGGATATTCATTGTCTGGAATTATGTTATGTGATAAGCAATGATGTAGGGGAAAAATACGTTTTAAAAAACTTGAGATAGATATTTTGAAGCATACGGAAAAATATGTATCTAAAGTAGCTTCATTTCAAACATATATTAAAGAGTGAAAGATATGTAGATCAGACCATAATTTATATGTCCTGAGCAGTTTATAGGACTACACATTTTTTCATTTAGACTTAATAAGCATGGAAAGCGTACCTTACTTCAAAGTATAAGCGTATCATAAAGCTTGGCAATCATTGGCAAAGTTACTCAGCCTGTAAACCTGTTCAGTCACAGGTTGAAGTATTTACCAAAGTGACAGGTCATATGTTGGGGAAATTGTTGCAGAATCGTAGCGGCTGTTAGCATTAAAGATAAAAAAAAAAAAAAAAATCCGCCTGAAATCTGGATAGTTTTGAAAGATAAAAGCAATTACAGATACGAGTCTCCCTACTTGTGAATCCTTTATCAGTTGTCTGTGAAATTTCATATTTTCCCTTTTCTCTTTCTCTTTTTTTAAGAGAAAACCAGCTATACTGGTGAAACAGTGACTATGGGAAAATATATAGTGCTGCCATATGAAAAGAATAGAGCTTCTGAGAAATCCAAAAAATGTCTTTCAGTTATCACACTTCGCAATAGCATGTAACAGTTCTAGGTAAAGGAATAGAGCCAAATGGTTTTTGTGGTTTGCTTGCTTTTGTTGATTGCAAATCTGTGTTCTAAACAAGTGTTCTGGTCACCAGATCAAAATAGTTATGGTTTAATCAGTTACATACCTCTTACTACTACTTCTGATAATTTTTTGTGCTCTCACAAAAATAAATTAATAAATCATGCACACACAATAGGAATACAGGCAAAAATGAGGGAAGATGCAAAGAGTAAGTCAAATATAAACATCTGAAACTGCAAATAACAATTTTTGTAGATACACTTTCTTTAAATACCTAAGAGCTATGGAAATATGTACTGATTTCTCTTCCCTTCATTGAAAAGATGTGTTTTTAAAACCTCTTAAGAAGTCATGCGGAAAGAACTATGGGAACTGTCATTTTCTGTTTGCACTTTGTAAGAGAATCCTACAAAGATCATTTGATTGTCATTTATTCCCTAAGATACCTTTTGTGGATTTATCCACTTAGCCATTTTTATTGTTTGATTTTTATTCTATTTTTAAAGAGGGCGTGATTCCATCCATCTTTTTTTTTAATTGTGATTATTTTCCTCTTTTTTTTTTTTTAATATGTCCCCATATGTACATGGGGAGATTCTTTACGCACAGTGAAGAAAACATTTAGGACTTGGAAGGAGTAAGCCCACAAAGCTAAAATGCAGCACACTGCACCAGTAATTAACTGCTTGGTTAATGTGTAGGTATAAAGCGTGATTCTATTAAGAGTGCTGTGAATTTACCTTTTCGTGTTTCAGGATCAGAGAATACTTAAAGGTTTGTTCAAAGATAAAGATTCAAAGATTTGTTGGGCACAAATTGCAGTTTTTGCTTTAAAGATGAAGTAAAACACTTTCTTCTTCAAAAGAGACAAAGATTTGGTCGGTGGGAATTATTATTTTTATATGTTTTAAACCCTAGAGAACATTCTCTCTCTTGTTCTAATGAGTAATCTCTAATGCAAAACTGTAAATTATATCACTCGTTTCCTTGTTCTGAAGTCAAGCTTCTTTGCATTTTATATGCAGCCTGAAGATAATAATTAACTCTAGGATTGTTCATAAAGTTTCATTTTCTTTAGAAATATCATTTGTTGTGTAAGATAGTTCCTTGCTAGCCACCAATGTGTTGACTTAAATTTGCTCCTATTTCCTGTCTGAAGTTCTAGGGACTTTGTCTAAAATTTAAGTTAGTAGTTTGCTAAAGTGTTAAGATTCCTGACTCCTTCCACTGTACAGAAGAAGGACCCCTATCGTTCATGCTGCTCTGGATCGTCAGTAGCAGTTCTATTCCATAGAAAACTTGATTCTAGCCCAGGATTAATCTTTTCAGAAAATTCTTAGAAAAACAGATGAATCTTGTACTGTATCCTCAGTCAAAAAATACAGGCTCTAAGAAGCTAGAAGAGAAACCAGAATTTTGGAAATAGGGGATTCTCTGCAGGAATACGCTGATCTTTTTTGATTGGGATGACGTTCTTAGCTTTAATACCATAGATGTGCTCCAGATCTGTGGAAACTCCCTGTAACTGCCGCTAGTGGTTCTTTGTGAGTCATAGGTCACTGGGGACTCAAATTACACAGCGTTGTTAATGGAACACTCAAACCATAACGCTTTAATAGGAATTGAATTCAGAGCCAAAGGAGATGCCAAAGCATGAGCTTTTTCCTGATATCCATCCTTAAAGGCAGTCCACTATGTTCTTCATTAGCTGTGTTTTTTTAAAAACATAATAAACATGACATAAATAACTATAGCATGTTAATATGCTTCTTCTTGATTTCGCAGCACTCTCAACAATAACAACATCACTCGACTATCCGTGGCAAGTTTCAATCATATGCCCAAACTCAGAACTTTGTAAGTAGTCCCACTGAAACTAGCTGTCACTTTTATCAGTACAGTGTGTGCATCATACTATTTTTTCTCTACCAGGTTTTCTCAGCGGTCTTTAAATATGTATACAGGCAGGGAAGGCATAAGCTCAGTTTAAAAAAAAAAAAAAAAGGTGAGGTTGGTGTCATGAGGCTGATGAATATGAAGTTTCCATATGTGTGTATGGCAGATAATTCCGAAACATAAAACCTTTCAAAAAAAGGTGTGACCCTAAACCTAATATGCAGGGCTCAGGAGATGAAGAAGCAGTTGCATCCTTTTCCATCAGGTTTTCAGGCTATGGGATGATGAGGTCTACAGAACTGTTTTCCTGGCCTTTTCCCAACTCGATTTTCCATACACCTACATTCATTCTGACAAAAAAGATGGAGAATTTGCAGGGGGCAGGTCTCCTCTGTGTGTTACAGCTGCATAGAGAAAGAAACTGATGTTTTTTGAAAGTCAGAAATTTGTTTTACTTTGAGCTATTGAATGGGTCACGTTTCATTTAGGAACATGGAAGACTCTTTGATTGGCTGTCAGATGTGATAAATGGGAAATCCTTATACTTTTATTACTGTACTGCTAGCAGACCTAATTAAACTAAACTGGCTCTCCAACATTCTTTGTAACATGAAATTATAGCATCATCCAGTAGTGCTATAATAATTAAAGCTGTGTCAGCATTTACAATAAGGTCCCCATTTTTAGAGGTTATGACTTTCACAGAAGTACTCTTTAGGCTACTAAAGCAACCAGCGAAAAGTGTGTGTATGCAAGTGATACAATTTTGGGTTATTTTGTTTTCTTTCTTCTGTGTGGTTATGTGGGACTAAGAATGAGTATATATTGTGTTAACAAACAAAGCCAGAATATTTCAAGATTTAGTCCTGAGATTCTTTTTCAAATGGGATTTCCAATGGAGTGGGAATCAAGAAGAATGAACTATCAGAGTTCAAGAGTAGCTCTTATTGTTGAAGAACTAACTTTAGAAAGAAGCCTGTCCATTTTCTTTTACGCATGTGGGATTACATAACTACTTTGAAATCAGTAGGGTTATTCACTTCAGTTAACATAACGTTCTTAACTGAAGAAATTTCATACAGGTGAGTACTTCTGTTGATTTCATAACAGTATTGTGACTATTCTTGCCTGAACAAATGCAACAGTTTTTACATTGTGTTGGCCATTGGCTTTTGGTGGCCTCATTTATATTTTAAGAATAGAATCTTATTCCATTCTTTCAGGTCTGAGGCCTGAAAACATGAGTATCTCTGTTCTTCTTTCAAACCTTCAAATACAGTTTATATTTTAAACAGTAAATTATAGTGAATCATGTAGCAATTTTTGTTACCATTTATATTTTTTGGGGGTTATTTTTTGAAAAATTATTTTAGAAACAAAATAAAATGGACTATAACATGGCTGTATGGCTGTACATGGCTATTACATCCCATTTGCAGGCAGAATATGCTTGTATAACTGTATTGATTTCAGTGGCATTAGTTCTGATTTGCAATGGTCTTCTTACCTACAGCTGGACACAGATTGTACTGAATGAGCGTGCTGTTTTGTGAGCTATATTTGCAAAGTACCCACATGAGAATCAGTAGAGGAAAATGCATTGCCTTTAACATTCATTTCTAGTCATTAAAAAAATAAAAGGATGAAATTGTTAAAATCTCTTGCTTATGTTGGTTTGTTACACATTTCATTTCATGTTGCTTTACAGATTTTTTATGCATTAATTAGACTTCTTGTCTAAATTCTGATTTTCTTGCACTTCCTTTCAGTTACTTAGTTAGGATTGAGCATATCAGCTAACAAGGACCAAAATGACATTACTCTGTTATGGATGATTCTGAGTAAGGATTTGATTTATAGCTGTGGATGTCCTTTTCTATACTTTGAGAAAATGTAAGAGCCAGAGAAAAGTAATTTACCTAATTCAGTGAATACATTTGTCTCATATTTTGTCAATGGCAAAGTCCTTTTTGCCACCTGGCAAGGAGCCACGGTTTTGTGTTGGTCCCTGCCAGCAGAGAGGCGACTTGCTTAATTCCATTGCTTGCTGCCTTTTGGTCTTTTAATTTCAAGCATTGCTTAGGACATAGGTCCCTAGGAGCCAAAAGCAGCTAATCCTCCTTTCTATGATTAAACAAAAAGAGAGGAAATCAGGAAAGGGATGTGAAAGAAGGTGTTTTATAATAAGTTATTACACTGTCTTGTTCAGCAGAAAATGAATATGACCTGTTAAAAGGATTTTGCAGGCTGTTTCTATAGAGATTAATAATGGCCAGACTTACAGATATGTCTAATTGGAAACCAAATCTTTTATTAACTTTTTTTCTGGAGGTGTATTATTGCACTGTAAGGCAATTTACTTTTGACACTTTTGTCTTATTCACTGCTTGTACAGATCTGGACTAAGGAATTCTACAGCAGGTTTCAAGCTCTCGTATATTTGCTTCTTTCTTTTAGGCAAGAGAAAAGAAACTATAGATAAGTTATTTTATTAGTTAGCCTTTATTTCTTTAGTGAGTTAGACTACAAATAGAAGGTCTTCTTACTGCTTCTGAAGCTGTATATATTAGCATTTAACTCTCAAACTTTCAGTGAAAGATGTGAAAAACTGATTCCTCATTAACAACTTTTTATGAGTAAATCTTCATAGTTTGTCACTGAAGGTTGCGGGTTTGGTCGATTTTTGTGTTTTCTTGCTAATTTAAATGCATTGACGTATTTCTTCCCATTCAGTCGACTTCACTCCAACAACCTCTACTGCGATTGCCACTTGGCCTGGCTCTCGGACTGGCTGCGGCAGCGGCCCCGCGTGGGCCTCTACACCCAGTGCATGGGCCCGTCCCACCTCCGGGGGCACAACGTAGCTGAGGTTCAGAAACGGGAATTTGTCTGCAGTGGTAAGGGATACAGACTGTCTCACCGAGCCCAGGGTGAGAGCCCACGTAGCAGCAGTGCAGCACGGATTGCTAGTGCTCTGTGCTACGCAGTTTCGCCAGGCTTCTAGCTTGTGTATAATTGAAGTGTTATTTTTTATTGAAGAACAAACTAATCCTTTTTTTAATTGGCATTTGTCTCTTGTGCTCTTAGAAATTTTGTGTAAATGATTCGTTCCCACAGAATACATAGCCTTCTATGAATGCAGTTCAGGGGGAGGGATATGGCGAATAAAAGGCACGTTGATTGAGACCGCAAGGCCTTTTGTAATAACATGGTCTGCTTTTTTAACTTTGCAAGCTGTTGGTGGGTTTTTTGTTGTTTTGTTTTGTTTTTCTGCGGTTTAAATAATATTCTGGATCCCCAAATAACTTTCTGAACATTACTGATATGCGTCAGTTGCATCAGGTTATTGTCTGGTATGAAATAATGAAATGACTAACAGTTCGTTACTAATCACATTTTTTCTATTCCTTTTTTTTCACCTTTTTTCATGTCTTCTAGATGAGGAAGAAGGCAAGTTTATCTTTCTTATTCAAATATTTTAGTCTCACATTGAAATTTTTCTTTAGACTGACTACTGTTTCAAGTTTCCTGGAAAACATTCAAAAATAGCTGGAATATGGCTGTCTTTTCAGTGATTCAGCAGAGTTGCTTCCACTTGTTGATTTTTACACATCCACAAAAACCCTCTTGAATATACCCGGTTTTGCACAGATGCAGAGAGATCTGTTCATTTAAAACAGTTTTATGCAGAACGCATTCTTCTGTCCTTATTAAACAGCCTTTAACATCAAAGTTTAAGGCATTACCATGATAGCAATAACATCCTTTTTACCATTAATTCTGTCTTTGCAAACACTTAAAAGGGTTCCTAGGAAGATCCTTTTTTTATAAGTGGATTAGTTTTTGAGTCCAGTTGTCAATAACAGTTTTATAACACATTTGTAACACATACATAAATGTGAAATGAAATTATTATGTTGTAAACTGCTATCCCAAAAGACTAACCTTTTCAATAGAGTAATGTTAAAACTTAACCAGCTGTTTACTTCAAGTTGTAAGTGGGAACAGCACTAGCCATAACAAGTTTGAAGTGACCTTATTTACGTTATCAGTATACCCTTTCTATATGTTAGGATATGGTGTTAAGCATAGTGAGAGAGATCTTAGAATTAAAGCTGTGACTTCAGAGTCAAGAAGTCCTTTCCTGAAAACTGCAAAATTGTCTCTAGCTTTTTTAATTAATGAAAAAGAAAGGGGGGGCTTCACGCCTTTCTCAATCAAAATCAATACAGTAATGAGTGCACTACTGAATGTATTAGAAAATGTGCAATCTATCAATTTCCAGGAATATATATATAGAATGTTTACTTTTTAAAACTTTTCTATATGTGAAATTAGTAAATTTGAATGTGATTATAAATGCTGACTTTAACATAAAACACAAGAACCTGAGAAAAAAAAATCTGTAAATTGTGTAAATCAGCCACCTGACTTAATACATCCGGTAAATTGCGGGAGGAAGGAATCTGCTGAGCTGACACAGAGAGGTGAAAATATGAGCTGTGAAGTCAGAGCCTCTGTTTAGTTGTATGCGGTTTGGTGAAAGGGTCGTTAACTCCAAAATTGCCTGTTAGCGATAGATACACTGAAGGGTAATACTCAAGTTAAGTATTTGTGGTACAGAACATAGCTAGCAAGAGCAGAGTTTCTGTTTTTGTGGCAAAGTTCATTCATTTCTGTTGACAATCATTTTTAGTACTACAGAGAATTCTGAAAACCAAATAAATCAGTAATAGTTTTTTAAAACCCCACATAAAGAAAATGTACCTGAAAAATGCACTTTGAGCACATTTAATTTTCCCCAAATACTCTTCATTAACAAGATGATTCTGAATGTGAGTTGTTAAAGAAGCTGAGAAATGATGAAAGGGCTACCAGGCAGATAAACATTTCTCTTTCATCTCTTATTATTGTGTCAACATATTGCTATTATTTGGGTATTTTAATTAATGCAATTCAAAGGAGCTGGTTGGCTAAAGCATTCATTAGTTCTGTCTTCCATTTTTCAAGGGAAGTATAAAATGTGGTGTTTCACTGTTGAAATAAACTGGACTACTGTTTGACAGTATTGTGCAATTTTAGGAGAAACGCTTTTCTTTTCCAGGTCATCAGTCTTTTATGGCTCCGTCCTGCAGTGTCTTGCATTGCCCTACTGCGTGCACCTGTAGTAACAACATTGTGGATTGTCGTGGGAAAGGCCTTACTGAAATCCCAACAAATCTTCCAGAAACCATTACTGAAATGTGCGTAATCTGTTTTGGTTTTTTTTCAATGAGCTTATAGAAAGATGTTTTTCCTGTGTATTCATTTTGGTAATTGTTATAAATCAATGCATTATATAGAGTGAGCATTTTCAAATATAAATTCAAATGCAGAAATAAAAGGAGTTTGCTCTCTTATGAGTTTATTTCATATGTACTAGTCACAGCCCATAGTTAAGACTGCATTCTGAGATGTTTTTCAAAGAGTTCATGAATACTTGCTTTTCTGGATACAGCAGAAGGGGAGCTTGCCGGCACTGGCAGGGACTCAGCAACACGAGCATCCTTCTTCTCCAGGGGCAGGAGAGGCAATGTTTTGGAAGGGAAGCTGGGAGTTCACTTTAGGGAAATAGTAGGAATAGTGCCTGGTGGAGCGGGGCAGGTGAATCAACCTGGTAAGAAGGATCTTGAGTCAGTATCTGGATAGAAATCAGTAAATTAGGGAGAGTATTCAGAAGAAAAAGCTTTTGAGCATCCTGATAGATGCTAGGAAATGCTGAGGATGTTGGGTAAGGGAGGTGATAAGAACAGAAAGTATCCTGGACATTCATGTATTTGTTGTACATGAGAGTCTTTTTGAAAATTTAAAAACAGTAGAATCTTACAGTTTTAAGGCAGTCTCATGGCTTTTTCACATCTGACCTGTGATTTTGAACTTTACAGGTTTGGAACTACTGTGATTTCTTCTTAGGATGTGGATAATAATCATAAGTTTTTCAGTTCATTGTTATTGGTGTTAAGACTGTGACCTGGCTGACCCTACCTGACCTCTGATTCGGTCATCAGCTGTATAATACCAACACTTCTTCTACCTTTCAGCTTTCTCAAAAGAGAACACTACTGCAGAAAATCCATGCACAGTGCCTGGGAAGACTGCACAGACTGTTTTCATTATTTAATGAGTTGTATACTGGCTTATTTTACTTGCATGTGTACACCTGTGTGCTTAGAGAAGGGGAAAACAATTACAGGAAAGCAGGAGACGCGTATCTCACGTGTTCCCAGCTATGTTTCTGCTGCCATGCAGCTAGCCAGTGAATGCTGATTACGGGCACTGGAAGACCAACTCTGCCATCACTAGTTTCTAGACCTGCACAGTTTAGAGGAGGCACCTGCTGACACCTGCATTCCCTTGAGAAATTAGGTGCTAGAGATTGCAAGGCTCTTCCTGAATCTTTACTTTAAGGGTTATCACTCCCAAAGAAATTATATGATGTAGGAGTTACTAGTTTACCTTGAACTCACTGTTAAAAGAAATGAGCTTCAGGCAAAAGCAAATAGGGGTTTACGGAATGGAAAGTAAACATCACACTTTAGCTGTTTATAAAGTACTAGGTGAAAGACAGCAAAAGGAAAGAAAGGAAAGAAAAGCCCGATCTGCTTTTCTCCGTGAGTTTTCTCACTGTCTTTTTCTGAAACTTTGCAGGAGGTCACGTAATCCTCAGGATCAAGACAGGGACTCAGTCTCAGTGCACACCTTACATCTTCAGGAGAGACTCCTGGGTTGGGAAGGTGTGCTAGCTTTTCTTTCTGATAACCGTCTTTGAGGTCTTTCTGCTCTTATTTCTATCTACCCTCACCCCCCCTCAAGAGCTTTTAAATCTTTAGCTCAGGAAAGTGCTTCACCCTCTCTTTCACTAAAGTATTCACTGTACTTCCTACTTCAGGAATGCTGATGTGTTTTAAGCATGCACTGGCAGCTGTTTATTAACCTGGAGAGTAAAAGCAACTATTATATAACAACTACTCCAGCATTTGGCTGAACACTTAACAGATTGCTAACCAAGGCTGAATGTTTCCTGCTAGACTAGGCAGTGTTCAAATGCTAGTGCGACCTTTTCACATTCTGAGCTTTATATTCAATAAATATAAAAATATATGCATATGTGTGTGTGCATATGAACATATGCTGTATATACATCTACTGTATTATACATAGTTTATAGTAATAAACTATATGCATACTATGTATATGTGTATGTATACTATAGCTAGCCTATAGGTACTGGCTTTTAAAAAAGCAGATCGCAGTATTTTGCACAGTTAAATAAGACCATATAAATATACATTTATTCAAACTCAGTGCAAGAAAAGGTAGCACATTATAAAGTCAAATTTTAAGAACTAGTTTAAGTTAAACAAATATATAGCAGTGAATGCCAGTATGACAAGAAAAGTATACTTCAATATTTGATGTAGTTTGCATGTAAACGTGAGGACTGAGAAATTATTTGAGCCAGTGGTGGACTGCACTTACCATACAGTGTCAGCAAAAGTTCAGGTTGATCAGAAAGTAAGGAGAGGAATGTACGGAAGAAAAGGACATGAAAGACTCTGAAAGTGAGAGATAAACTCAGTGGAAAAATCAAAGTAGAGAGGATTTTGTGAGTATTTGATGAGAATGACATATCTTTGCTCTTCCTTGCCAGTAGTTTGAAGAGGAGGTGAGATTTATGCTTATTGTAATTGTTGCATGAGGAAAGCCTTACACTTACTTCATCAGCTGCTTTAATATGGAAAATAATTAATGATGACTCCTGTATTATTGTCATGGGTGGCAAGTATATCTACCATCTTAGTATCAGAACAGAGAGAGGGAGAAAAGGAGAAAAAAGAGGTTGGAGAATGAGTGATTTCCAGAGTAAAAAAAAAAAAAGGTTTTATGGATTTTGGACTGAGGGAAGCATAGGAATAGTCAAACTGGACAAATCAGTAGTCCTCTCGCCCAGTGGCCTGCAGCAGTTGTCCCTGGTGAATGTTTTGGAAGCAGCAAGGAGATGATTTCTGAAGTAAAATACCAAGAAGACAAATATTTTCCTTGCTCTCAACTTGTTAGTGGTTTGGTTTTTTTTTTTGGTTTGTTTTTTTTCCATGAAGCTTGACATTTTGCATAGGTTTCAGAAAAAGTTTTTCCTTTGAAATGTCTGATCTGCTTCAGATCATACTATGTTCCTAACCTTGATTTTATCTTAAGCTAATAAATCTATAGGAGGGTTCAAAAGATGTGATTCCAATTTTAAATGTAATATTTTAAAATTTCATTAATTTTCCTTTGTAGGGGAAGGGAAAATGCATTAAGATTAATAATTTATCCTGTCACCTTCTATTTTGCATTTATCTCTTCTCTAAACTAAACCAAGTCTGTTCAATCTTTTTCAATGCCAAAACCTTCCATGTTTTACTCAGTCGCCTCCCTTGTCTCTGAACTCTGTTTTCTACATTTTTTTTGACCTGGAATGACCAGAGCTGCATACAGTATTCCAGATGACAATGAACCATGAGTTTGTACAATGGAATTTTAGTTTTCTTTCATTTGCTTTACACACCCTAATTCTCTCTTGCTTTCCTTAACTGCCAATATGCGTTGCAGCATGTTTTCCATTGAACTATCCATGAAGAGTCCAAGGTCTTTTTTCTTAGCTATTATAGTTTCTTCAGAAACTAGAAATTATGTATAGACATAATCCCTCCATTCCATTCAGATACATATTTTTTTACATTTCTTAACACTGAATCCATTCATATGTTATTTTCTTAAGCTCCTCTACGAAAAGCTTGAGTCACCTGTGCTCTTAACTGACATTCCTATGTTAAGGTTATCATACAGTAAAAAAGTTCAAAAGCTTTCATTTGTAAAAAAGTGCTTAGCAACTTTTTATAGCAATTCGTTATGATTTGATTAGATTAGAACGATTGTATCCCACAAAATTATCTGTTTTTTCACTTATTCTTTATATGAAGCTATTGTCAGTTTGCCAAAATGGTAACTGCCAGTAAACATTTGAAGAGATGGGACCATGCTGTCACAGCAGCATTGAGAGCACTTATGAGCTGCTGAACACAAGGCAGAAGGGTGTAGTGAGCATTGTGTTTCCACCACCATTATACAGCTCCCACGCACTTGGCTTTATCGTCTCTTTCACCCTTTTAAGCACATACTTTGGCAGGAGCTCCCCCGTTCTCAAGGAGAGATAGAAAGAGAACTGAGCTGGAGCCCTCTTGTTTTCTGAAGGACTTAGTTTTAAACAGCCAAATTATTATTTACTTAGTGTTTTTATGACAGCACCATCACAAGATTCTAGTGCACACCATAATAAAATTGGCATCGTACTTTTATTTTACATGTGCCAAATGTTCTCAGTTTTTTTCAGTATTTTTCATACATGTCAGAGTATTTGTGCATTTTCAATTGAACATTGTCATCTGGTTTTCTAAACATACTTTATTGACAGGAACATTTGAAAAAATTGTAATATTTTTTAATTCTCTTAATCTGTAGAAGTTTCTCTGCTGTACAATGGTAATATTTATCACCTCTGTATAGTCTGTATTTGCAGAATCCAGTGCCATTGTGTCGTACTTCAGCCAACTTGAGGGTCTACCAGCACCTCTGGGGTGTCTTTCCTATCTTTTGTCTTTCCTGTATTGTATCGTGTGTGAATAGTCTTTTCCTTTGAGGCTGAAGCTAAACTTTGTTTTCAGCCCTTCTTTACAGAGTTACTTAAAACTTGACAGCTTGTTTTTGTGAGATTTTATTTCTCCATCCATTTCTGCCTCTTATTTATTTGTTATATGTGCAACAGGTTACTCTTAACAGGAATAAAATCCTTACTCCATTTCTGAGGAAGGTTCATAATCCGGTCATTTTATCTTGTGGTTCTTGTAAGGGTTGGCCTCAATACATGTTCCTGGTGTTTCAGTGTTTTTCCATGCACTCCACCCATTTCTTCCGTCCTTCTCTCAGTGGGAAGCCTGACCTCGTTCAGCTCCTCAGTACCTTGTGAAGCACTGATTTCTTCCTCTTTGCCTGACACAAACTTCCTGTGGATGAAACATTGTCTGATCTGCTGCTGCACCCACATACTTTGTATTCATTACATTGTCGGTCCATCTGAAACAGTGCTGCATAAAATCTAAGAGGCATTAATAATAATGTTGTTGTTCCGCTCTGTCCTTCCGATTTACGTAATTATACTATAGGT